CACCTTCAGGCAAAGTTCATCAAGATCTCTTCAATTTCACCATCTTCACTAATCTCTCTAATTTCATCATCTGCGTATGTTGAAATCATCATCTCTAAAAAAAAACTCTCCAGCCAATTACCACTTCCTTTCGGATGTCATTATGCTTGTGACAATTAGAATAAAATTATATAACGACAAAATTATAAAATGAAAACTCATTATAAGTCATTTTTTTTAAGAATTCGTTTAACAAACGAGTTTTTCTGATTTTTTTCCAGACCAATTACCATTCCTTTGATCCATTATGCTTGTGAAAATTATATAAATAGATAAGACAAATTATCAAATAAAAACTCATTATAATCATTTTTTGTAAGAAATGTTTAACAACAAGTATTTCTGATTTTTTTTTTTTCCAGGTCAATTACCATATCCCTTTATAACGATGTGAAAATGGATAAAATTGATAAGAACAAAAAGTATAAGATCAAACTCATTATCAACTCATTTTTTTGGTAAGATTATTTTACCGGTATTTGTTTTTGATGTTTTCAATTGGAGTTACAATAGGGATGACAGAGAAAAGATTGGAGTGAGAAAGATGAAAGAGAAAGGGTTGAGAGGAATGAGAGAGGTGTAAGGGTTTGGGGGGTTTCTTTTTTTTTTTTTTTTTTTAGTTTTGATAATGAAAATTATTAAAATACTCTTAACTGTAAAACTAGAATCCATGCTATAGACTGATATTTTTTGTCTACCGTTACCCATTGCAAATGTACCACTGAAAAACAAGCAAAACCCATATATAATATCTCTCTCTCTCTCTCTATCTCATCTCTTCTATCTCTATCTCTCATCTATCTCTCTCTCCTCTCTCTCTCTCTCTCTCTCTCTTTGTTTTCCTTTTGCTCCCGCCTGGTGCGCCGCTGTTCCCCGCCCTCTGATCGTCTCTTCGCCCGCCGGTCCCCTCCTCTCTTTTTTTCCTCCATTCTTATTATCGGACTATTGTCGAGATATTATACCTCCTTCAGTTTTTTCACAAGTTTGTTTCCTTAGTTTTTTTTCGTTCATGTTACCTTATTTTTTCCGCTGCCACAAAACCTTCAAGTTTTTTTTTCTTCTTTTCCTTGTCCAATCTTCATTATTCCTGCACTTCCGATTAAAAATGAAAAACAATAAAATCCGCGTTTACATATCATCTATAAATAAAATTCATGACGAATAGTTTATAATACCACGAATATTTATTATCCGCGAGTTGCGGGTAGCAAATATTTTAATACCCGCATATAACGGGTGATGTGACTTCTCAATTATATTACATCATTCATATATAAAAAGACGTCATCATGCATAATATAGAAATCATCAGAGTAAGTTTAAGGATTACAGTCCTACTTCATAATAGTAACGGGAATTGACAACAAGAGTATTAAATTTCTCCATGAAAATCACGAGAATTTAAAATTAAAACGCACACAGTTTCTTCCAAACATTAAGAATTTCGATATAACTAAGCCTAATCTAGCTGCAGCACTTCCGTCCCTCAAGGGCTCTTCTCAAAGTATCACCTCTCCGTCATCTGCTCCCATCCAAGTGATTGATCACGCCAAAGAAACCATACCCAAACAGCACATAACACAAACAATGCAGGGTGAGCTAGAATATAAAAGCATGTTATACAGTACAAACACAGTTAATTCAATGCCATCAATAACAATTAAAGCATAATCATTGATCCATATTTCACACACCTCCCATGACATGTAAACACTTTCATCCAAACAAGTAAACTGACATCGACGAGTACTTGTTACTTTATACCCCGCCTCTCCGGACTAGAATGATTAAACCGAGCTTATGGCGGGTCTTGCACTCGTTGGCTCTTATGAAATTGGGCACTCCCCGCCCTTGCACTACCGACCCCTTGTGAACTTTGGGCACTCCCCCCTGCCCTCAACACCGCCTGGTGGAAACTTTTGGGCACTCCCCCCGCCCGGCCACAATCACCGAGGTTAATTCCTTATCACTCACTTGGATCATATTGAAGCATCCAAGGGACTAGGACTCCTGCTACCTCCTCCCAACAATTTCAATCCTCTCTACATGAAGAAAAAGAAAGACCATTGGAGATTCATGGATGCCCCCCAAAACTGAGCTAAACCAGTGTTAATCATTCTATCAACCCCAAAACACCACCATGTACCTCTCCTTGAGGGATCAATGGAATTACGTTCATGAATCATACTGTTTACTCTTTACACCTTAACCCAAGTCATGAATAACCAGATACCTCCATAATTTCACATTAATCCAACGTATTTCATACATTCAACATAAATTCCCATCACACATATAATCTTTTCCAAACAACATTTGCACCTAATTCATCCAAGAGAATGAACTTAAAACCCATCACCATTTGCTGACCATTGGATGGCGAACACTATTCACCGAGCGTTATAAACCGAGCGCACTGTGCCAATTGAACGAACGCTCAGAGTATTAACACAACTTGGACGAACGCTAAAGACCGAACGCTGAATCACTAGGACCGAACGCTAAAAACCGAACGTCATATTGGATTCAACACTATTGGCCGAACGCGGATTGATACTTAGGACGAACGCTATTTCTTAACAGGCGAACGCTATTTCACTGATGACACCATTAGGCCGAACGCTTAAATTAATACCTAGAACGAACGCTATACCAAAAGGCCGAACGCTACTATGCGAACGCTATAAGATTCAATAGTCGAGCTACTATGATAATTGGACGACGCTATAAGATTCAATAGGTCGACCGCAATATTGAATATCTAAAACGAACGCTATTAAATCATTCTGACCGTCCGGTGCTTACTCCACTCCAAGGAATATTGTCCGAACGCTATGATTCTAATACTCCAATCCGAACGCTCACATCACACCATAGGCCGAACGTTCAAGAATTAACCTAAGAATACTACCAATGTCGAACGTTCATAATCACAACATTAAAAAGCCGAACGCTCACATCATAATCATACCAAGGCCGAACGACTAAAATTCCAACTTATAATACTAAATAAGACGAACGCTCACAATCAGATTTAGATGAAGGCCGAACGTTCACAATCAGAATTAAACGGCCGAACGCTCAAGATCAATTAATCAGGCCGAACGCTTAACTACCGACAACAATTTCAACACTTTTGGACGAGCGATCAAAGATTAACCTAGACAAAGACCGAACGCTTACTATTTACACAGACAGAAACAAGGCCAACGCTCATTAATTCACTAAAACCGACCTTTAAATTTGAAACCTAAGATCCATATCAAGGACGAACGACTTCAAAATCGCTAATATCCAATACCGAACGCTCATATCACTCTCTGTAATTACTGATTTAGGGACGAACGCTCAGGATTGAAATTTAATTTTACCAATATAAGAACGAACGTTCACACTAATATACCAAGACCGAACGTCGGGATTACTTCATCAGAATACAATTTTGAGGACGAACGTCTAAATTACTAATTCTTGTATACAGATGGGACGAACGTCTAATATATCACTGTAACAAAACGAACGCTCCGTTAACACAGAACCGAAACGGCTCAGGTTATTTTGGCCGACCACTTAATTGGTCGATCCATTGGGACGAACGTCCAATTTGGAGCCAAATTGGACGAACGCGCGATCTGCAGAATTCTGCAGAATCGTACCAGATTTCCAGAAAACCCAGAAATCCAAATTTTTCATCCCTTCCTTCCCAGATTTGCATCAAACACAACATATATCATCAATCAAACAAAAGATCTAGCTCCCCTTACCTCTTGAAGACTTCCTTTGAAAATCTTTGGATCTATCTTCTCCAGGGAGACTTGCAGCACCAAGCATTCCAACACTCTAAGCTTCACCTCTTTCACAAACTTTGCAGCAAGAACTTCTCTCTCCCATTTCAGAACCCACAAACCCCCCTTTTATCTCCCACTCCTCCCACGTCTCCAGCTTTTGAAAGGTGCCAGCACAAGAGATATCAAATCCGGACGTTTCTCCCCTTTTTGCTGCAGTTTTTTCAACATCCAAGCTCCCCATTTTTCCAAATAAGACAAAACCTACCTCCCTCTATGTCAGCTAGTGTCTCCCAGCATTTAATGCTCCCCACCCCTTTAAGAAAAACGAGGCCCTTACATGTGATGTATGGGTATTATACTATCCGTACTCGTAAAAAATAAAAATAAAAATAAAAATTTAATTTATATTTTATTAAGTTAAATTTAATTAAAATTAATATTAATTTATATTTTATATGATTAAATTTAATTAAAATATATTTTATATATTTTTTATAATTTTATTTTAATAATTTATAAAAATATATTTTTTAAAATATTTGCGAATATATGTGAGTATCCGTGAGTTTTAAAATATTCAAACAGGTATTTTTTCAGACAGTGAAAATAGTGAAATTTTTTTTGTCGAATCAGGTTAGGGTAGACACTATCCTCACGATTGTTTTCATCCTATCCCGATAGTGTAAGATTCGGAAAATCAATCTGATAATGTTTATAAGTTTCTTAATAAAATATTTTTTTTAAAATATGAAGAATATGAAACATAAGTATAGGTATTGTTGTATAACTTAATTGGTAAGAGTTTGTTGTGAATGTTAAAGATTACACGTTCAAATCCTAAATCCTAAATGGTGCAAATAATGCTGGAATTATTTTTATAAATGTTTTATTTTTTATAATGAGTCAGTGTATAAATTAAATACTTATTAAATAGCATTATAACTAAAACTCGTGAGTTGACGTAGTGGTAAGGCTGTTTGCTATGTTCTGGGGTACGAGTTGGAAGAGAATCTCTAATTTTCCTTCACCCGTTCGTTATTTTTTTTTATTTGCCCATTTGTGAACCCTAGGTTACGAGAGGGAGAGAGGTTTGAGGCGCGAGAGCGAGAGAAAGGAGAGCATCAAATGCTCAATCCAGGTATGGGAAGTTAACTCTGTCTTTGTGTGCTGAGATACCTGATAATGATGATTTCTGTTGTTTTATTATTTGCCGATGTGAGTTTTGCCGTTCGCATGTCTTTGGGGATTAATTGTGATATAATGTGGTGTTGTTCAATTGTTTCGAGCCAGAAAATGTATGATCTTGTTCGGTGTTTGACTACATTGGTTTATTACACGGTGATTGGAAGCTGTGTTGCTAAAAATTAGAATTTTGAGATATGCTCTGTAACAATCAGTTTTAACGGTCACTCGACTCTCTTTGGATTGCTGGATTTCTTAATGGATGGTCTATATAAGCTATTGTTAGGGGATGTACTCTGATCCTGTATAAATATTGCGGGTTTGTGACGTTGCATGTTTAATTGGTTCAACTGACCATATCTGTTTAAATTTACACTTGAAATTAGATGCAGTAAATCTGTAAATGCTGAATTGCCATGTGATGTGATGAGACCTTCGTTTTAGACTAATCTGTACTTGCTGATTCTGACTCAAGTTTAAGTTTAATTGATTCCAGTGGTGGCTGTGAACTTGTACAGGTTATGAACTTACTTTTTGCCATTTATTACATATGTTTGCATGCATTTTGGTGTTCGGGTTTTGATGCTATATGATTTGTATGGTAGGGTAATGAAAATTAAAAAGTGCAGGGACTTAGTTAAACCATTGGTCAAATTAGGAAATCATATCTGAAGCGGTACATGGATTGTTAATGGTATTATGTTCTGTAATGAGACAGTTTGAATGCTGATGGTATAAGTGGATAGTGCTCGTTCTTATTATGGTTAGAATAGGAAGGGAGGTAGTGTGGTGTTTGGATGTTACTGCTGTCAGATTTAAACATGTTGAACGGGTACTATGGTATAGTAATATTGCTTGGAGTAATATTGTGGTTTAACATGGTTAGTTCTCTCTCTGTATTATCTTCAGGTTTTTGGGTAACATCAGAGGATGAATAAGAGAGAACTGAACTGAAGCTCCCTGCAATTTGATGTTTTTGTCGGAAAATCTCGAAAACATGGGAATATGAGTGCACTGTGTTCTCTCTCTGATTTTAAACCATTTCCTGAAGTTAGTGATTATTTTCTTTAGGGTCGAGTTTGAGTTGAATTCAATGTCGATCTGATAATCAACATTGAGCAGTGTACAATTTAGGTAATAATCATGTGTTTGGATCTTGGGCAACTGTCTATTCGCTTGTCTTTTGGTGAAAAATCTGTTGTTGATATCAACTCCAGTGTTTAATGTGTTAGATTTTTCAGAATCTCAACGTGTCCTCTGCTTCCTTCAATTTGCTCCTTATCTGGCTGTAGTTATTTCAAATGCTTCTAGATGATAAAAATGTTAATCCAATCATACATTAGTTGAGATTGTAGTCTTTCACAATAAGTTTATACTTGAACAGTGTGCTATAACTTTAACTATTTCTTGCAGCTGTGTTATATTAGAAGTGGTGTTGAATTTGCAATTAACCAGTTGCGTATTCATATTTTAACTTCAATAATCATTGTTTCCATTTCGTTCAGTTGAAAATGAAGTTTCTTGATTGGTACTTGAAGATTGGGTTTGTATCTGCTTTGGTTGGGGCTTCTATGGAGGTGTTCATGATCAAAACTGGCTTCTGTGTGAGAACTTTCCTCTCTTGTTCTCTAACCTCTCTTGCTCTCTAACCTCTCTTGCCCTGCATTACCCTTTTCTTGATTTTCCATTTAATGCTGTTGTTGAAGTGGGTTTCTAAAATTTTTAATAAAATTTTCATTCTGGTTAATATGATATGACCTTTTGAGTGAAGAGCTATAAGGTTGGTTTGGTATTAAAAATGGAATGAAGAGTGGGATAGGTCGTGGATTTGAATACTCCTCTAGTAAACATATTAAGGATTAAAAAAGAAAAAGAAAAAGATATGGCCTTTTGAGTTGTCTAGTACTAGCTGATTATTGATTTTGGTTTGCTAGATTAGTATCTTGCATTCTAATGTAGTGATGTTTTTCGCGGACCATCATCATGGTCTTCCAATGAAAATGAAATTCCGAAAATATCGTGTACTCTGTTATACACGTCTTTCACGTTATTTGTCTTGGCCAAGTTGCCCACTAAACACGATATTTTGCATATGTAGAGAATTTAATAATTGTTTTCTAAGGTATTGCGATAACCCCCATGATTGTTTTCACCAAAGGATTTTGACTTTATAAAAGTATGATTTTGTTTCAATTTTTCCTTGCCTTCTATTTGTACAGATGACAAAGTAACTGTTTTGGAGTCAGAAAAGCGTGCCTGGGAGAATTCCCCGGATGCTCAGGCAATTAGAGAAGCTCTCAACCCCTGGAGACATATTGATGCCGAAGAAACAAAAAAGTCCTGACTCAAGTATGAAGCATTTTCTTAAAATCCATTAGTCATTTTTTGAGAACACAAGATTTATTCGAGAATATACTGGAATAAAATGATAACAATTGGACTAGTTATTCTATTATGAAACTGAATCTGGTATTGTCCATCCCACAAAGTGGATTGCTTGTTACATCTTGTCAGCTGGACCCCAAATCATGGCAACTTTGGGATGACGCACACAACCTTCAACTTTACCATCTGGCTTTGAATCTTTTATATATTTTATTTGACTTTTGAAGAAGTGTTCAGTGTTTTCTTGCTAATATGATACACGTACCACACCAAGACGAGTGCAAGTGTTCTCAACCAAAAGAAACCGCAAATGTTTCTTAAATTGCTTCGTTACCTCTTATATGCAAGTCTTTTTAATTCTACAATTTCAATTGATATTTGATATTTCATCTCCTACACCCGAAGGAGAAACACATTTTGGGGCTGCTTCTTGTGGCCCCATCGTAGAGCTTCAACAATGTTTACATGGACTGTCATAATCATAATTCACTAATTTCTTTTGGTCTTCATGACTGTCACCTTCTTTGTCTATTATTTTTGAAGTACATACTAGCTTATTTTCATCATGAATCTATGATAGCCATAGCAAGTAGGAAAAGTATGAACTATGGTTGGAGGTGCTTCACTTAAGAGAAGTTTGATTTATTTTATTTCTTCTATAAGTGTTCTTTGAGAGCTTTATCCAAATTATCTTAGAGTAGAGTGTGCTTCACAATCTGCTAAGTGCTTAAGTATCAATGGTTTTTTTTTTCTATATGGTGGTCCCTTACTAATATGGAGTTCGAATTACAGTTACCCCTTCGCTGCCCCACCCTGTCATTGTGTGTTTTCGTCAATCTTTCTTGAGCTTGAATGCTGTGGTTTGCTTATCGGTTCTGTATTAAGAAATCTTCTTTCCTTCTCAGCTTAATTCCTTTTGTTTGTGTTCTAAAGTAATTTGTGGTAACCCATATCTGTGTTTCATGTTATACTTACAAGTCTAAACTGATGTCGTTCTGAAACTTATTAACAGAAAAGCACTAAATTTAAGTGACGATAGCTTTCACACTCACTATCTCAATAAAAAAATTCCCAAATTTTGTTAGTTTAAAAATGTAAGGATTTTAATGGATGAGATTGATGCAGATCGTTGAAAAATTGCAGAGGATCTTGGTCCCCAGCCATCATCTGTGATGTGTAGCCCGTCTCCAAATGTAAAGTATGCAAGCACTTGCAGAGTTGCATGTCTAGCCACCATCTGGCCTCTGACTGATGACATACTGAACTTATACTGATTCGTTCCTCATCTGCAACGTGCCATCTGTTTTGCTTAGGCTTAAATCCAAAATTTGATCAATTGCGCCATTTTGTTACTTTGTCAAATGTTGCCCCGTGGATCTTGACTGATGCATGCTGGATTTTATTCGCTTTTTTGAGGATTTTTTTTTTTCGTGGTTAATCTAGTAGTTAAGAACAAGATTCCAGTTTATATACTAAGCTTGAAGAAAACACATTAAAAAACTGTAATTTTTTAAAAAATTAAATGAGTCTGCTTGTTTAATTTTTAATATGTGGTGGTTCGGGTTGAACACTTTGTTTTTAAAACTAATTGATATGTGGGTCAATAGGTCACCTTAAAGTTTGTTTGTATATGTGTGAGGATGATGGATTTGAAGCTTTTCTTGTTTATATTTGTTCATTTGTGAGGAAGTGAGAGTGGGGAAATGCGAGGAACAAGTCCATGGAGTCTCTTGCTGTTCTGTGAAAAAGTAGAGGAAAAGTCCAAACTGGCCTTTGCTTTAGACTGCCCATGACAGAGATCTGTCCTCTGCAGTGGCCATGCAAGGAGAGATTCTTGAAAAGAGAATTGTTTGACCATGCCTGGTAGTTCAGCGTTTGAAAACTTTATTAAATACTTGTGAATGCATTTAGTTGAGGTTTTACCATTTCTTCCTTCTTTGGCAAAGTTTGTGATTGTTGGTATGAGCTTCTACATGACTACCGTTCAGAGTTTAGTGTACTAATAAAAGTGGCCGTCATTTTTATCCATGGATTCAGCAAACAAAGGAAGTAAGCTCCTCCCACAAATAGAATCTCTTCAAGCCACTAAGCTCAATTAAAAACGAGAGTGATGATATAATCCCAAACATTATACTTTTTTTTCTTATGACATCATATTTTCTATAAACATTATTTTTATTTTCTCTACGCAAATTATTTTTCAAAAAACAAAGCCTAGCACTTGAACCAACGTACATCACCTCTCCCTTTTGAATCGGATTCCCCTTCTGCCTTGCTTAACCAACTTTGATGCATCGTATCCTTCTAATTAATTTCAATTTTGTTTTGTTTAACATCATACAATTAACTTTACTATTTTTAATATCAAATTGTCCATTCTAATACTTGAATTGAGACTAAAAGAAATATTTCCTAAGTGTAAATATTTTTTAATTCGTTTAACTTTAATTTGAACATGAATAAAACTTGGGTATGTTTAGATTTCAGTTGCAACACTCAAACTAATTTTCAGTTTTCATTAAACATAGAAACATATTTAATACGTTTTGTCCAAAATAAGTTATAAAGCCAAAATTCCCCTCAAACTTAAATTCACTTGAAAGCTACAATAAATTTCTTTCCAACTCTAGCTGGGTTCAACTTAGCTTAAAATAGATAGGAAATAAAGCAAACGTTTATACATAGAAAATTGTCGTTTAAATTAATAGAATTCCAATTGAAAATTCTTTTTGATTTGCTTGATTTTATTATTAAATGAGGGAAACTGCTTAATTTTCATGTCAATAGAATCTTTTTAATTCTATGATTCAATTGGCAATAAGAAATGAAAATGTAATACATACATCTTAAATACATATTGTTCAAGTATTTGGATTATATTCTAAAGGTAATCGCTTGCTTTTTGTTGGTTGCATGACTTGTTGCCTTTGCAAAAATGGAAAAATAAAAATGATCAATTTTTATTATATAGGAAAGATAATCAACATTTGAAGTAACCAAAAAATCTATATGCATATGCTGGCTAGCCCTTGGGTCCTTGCTTCCTATCATTCAGTTTTTTTTATTTATGTATTGATCAATGTTCTTGTGTATAGAATAAAATTGTCTTGTTATACCGTTTTCCTATTGATCGCGAAAAACTCTGCAGTAGCATGCTCAAATGCACCTGTCAAACGTGTAGAGTGTCCAATGGATCACAAGAAATAAATATTACTTGAATGAATATCTGTCATGGTAATATAAACATCCCGCTTTGCAAGCTTAAGGGTGTCTATCGAGAACATTAACACAAGCCAATTTCTCCATATTTGCGTGATAAGCAATCAAATAATTTTTATCCTTTTTATTCTACGCGAATTTTCTGGGAGAACCAATGAAAATAAGCACATAAAGCGAGGCACAATAGGTGTTGCAGAAATCCTTTATAAGATGTAAGATTATGGTCCAAATATATAATATAAAACTTTGATATTAATAAATGAAAAAATCATTCACTCAAAATTAAGAACATGTATAGAATTGCATGTTGCCTGCCCTGAGACCAATGCACACGCGACAAGGATAGAAAACTTTTGATTTCGTCATAATCGTAATTATAGTATCAGTCTTCACAGCCAAACAAGGTGCCAAAAGCATCGACACTACCGCCTCAAGCTCTCCACAACGTAGTCTGCGTACAAAGTCCTTCACACACACAAAAAAAAACATTATAAGCCTCCATACCATTTTAGCACATGAATAAATAAGTAATATATTAAAACCATACAAATATTTCATAATTTTATTAAAATATTATTTCAAAAGGAGTATCAGAACTGATGTCAAAACGGTTTATTGATAATATCAGATTGGTATTGCTTACATGGAATGCTTGATCGCTTCATAGGCAGATGAGGCAGGAAGAAAGTCGTTTACTGCAACTTCCTTGTTTTCATTCTTCTTGTCTATAATTCCTTTATGAAGGGAAACAGAAAAGAGTTTGACACATGGACGCTAAATGATACTTTTGCATTTCGATATATATATATATATAGACACACACACATATAGATGCTAACATATAAGAAGTACTGAACAAACGTTTTGAAATATTTGGAAAGGATACAATCTTCAAAAAAGCGACGGATTTCAGCTAAACGGTGGGGAGGAAGGTCCTTGATATCATTGTAATGACGATACTCGGGATCATCAGCACATACAGCAATTATCTTGTCATCTTTCTCACCCTGAATTTCATCAGAATAGTGGTTGTTCAGTAATCGAAAGACAAAGACTCTTGCTATGAGGAAAAGGGGAGTGTCTGATATACCTGGTCGATCATAGGCATGAGTCCAATAGCTTTGGCCCGAAGAAAGCAACCTGGAAGAACCGGCTCCTGTGCAACCAAGTACAACCAATGCTTAGTACCACAGAAGCAGTAAAAACATTAAACAAAGGTGTGCATAATAACTTATTGCTAAACTAAGGATTTAAAAATGTAGGATGATACTCAATCATGCAATACGAAGTCCTTGGACTTGGAAGACCAATTCATTCATTCTCATATTGGTTTAAGAGAAAGCCAGAGTAAAACATGATAAAGTATTTCCTGGTCTTCTCCACGAATTATTACAACAGATGTGTTCTGGAATTGTATTATAATAGATATATAGAATAATTTTACCCAGGTTCCCACTTTAAGATCACCTTGAGCTAGCTATATTTTGGACTAAGACTAACTTTTAAAATGATAAAGATCCCTTTGTAAGACAATGGAATCAAACAAATTAAAGAAACTCCATTGAAGAGAATTTACTTAAAATATTGACCTCGTTACTTTAACCACCAACATGTGTATTTGTTATTGCAGCAGTGGAACGAAAATAGTTCACATGTTACAGAATCCATTTTAAAAAATATTGCTATTTTAAAAATCAGTTTAGTAAATTTGCCAAGTGCAAGAACTCTTACGGAAAAACATTGAAAAAGTGCGGTCCAAATGGGGAGGAAACTTTTTCAAAGTACGATGTAATTTGTAACTAAGTGAATCAGTGAGAAATTCTCATAATTTCATGCTTACACACCGTTAAGAAGTAGACATTATGAGCAAGATGCAATTACCTGCATAATAACCAGGACATCCATGGGGTCACTGTCCTCACAAATAGTACGAGGGATAAACCCATAGTTGTGAGGATAGACAACTGACGAATAAAGTATACGATCAACCTGCACAAAAATGTAGGTTCAGCAATGCCCTGAAGCAACGAATGCAACAAGAGAAGAAAACGCTAGACAACCACGATTACCTTGATAAGTCCAGTTTTTTTGTCAAGTTCATATTTCACCTTGCTTCCTTTTCCAATTTCGACCACCTGCATGATTCAGCCATAGTTCATAATATTCAAATCTAAGTACTTAATGAATACCTTGTCTGATGCCCTTTAGAGAAAAATAAAATATCATAACAATTTAAACTCGTATCATGATATGTTGATTAGTAAAACATTATAATAGGACGTACACAAATTAGGAAAAGCTTCGATTTGTCATTCTATAGCATCAAAGACAAACAAGACAAAGTCAAAGAAAGCAAAAACAATATAATACAGGGCCAAATACTTCCACTTCACAACCAATAGTCTTACAATGCCGGTTTGCTTAAACCTTAGTACACGGGTAAACAAATTCCGTCAGGATCCCGTACAAATAATCAAATAATGGCCTTCCAGCAAATCAGTTATTAGTGGCTATTTCCATTAATAAGACAGCAAGCCGAGACGGAAATGGAATTAGAATTATCCAATATGTTTCTTGTCCAACCATCGGCCTATAAACCACCAATACTTGCATTTTCTTACCATAAGATGTCCAATACCAATGTTTGGGTGCTTGATACCTATTTGAATTTCTTTTTATACACACAAACATTGCTTCCTACTTCTTTTAGGAATGGGCAGTTAGTCTCATCAAACAAGCATGCAATTATATCTGTGCATAACATCTATTAGTAGACTAAACATTTTGTTAATGTTTAGAATTGCAAGTCTCTTAGTTCATATACTTACACAGTTGAAGATCTTTGGAGCTTCGGGTCCTGCATTGTGGGGAAAACACAGTTAGTACGGAAAATAAAAGCAAAGGAGAAATGCGTTAGGATTAAAACCACAATCACAATTTTAGAACGATATTGCTTACCTATCTCAAGATCATGCCATGGGTGTGCAGCAACAGTCCTCCGGGTCAAGGATGAAAGAATCCTCTCGTTAAGAGGAGGGTGTGGGGTGTGCTGATAGCCGGAAACTTTGTTTGGGGTCTCAATCGGTGGAGCCATTTCTTCAGCCTGAAATGAAATAATAAACATTATTTTTTGTCATTAGATGGTATTTTACACAACTTACCAACCATTAAAATCCCAAATTTGACCTTTGACATTTCAAGAATCACCCAGAGAACAGTCTCCGAAAATTAATAC